AGCTCATCTGACTACTCATCAATTGCTTCAAGTCCTGAATCGTCTAGTGCTTCATCTGGTTCATCAGCTCCAGTTAGCTCATCTGACTATTCATCAATTGCTTCAAGTTCAGAATGGTCTAGTGCTTCATCTGGTTCATCAGCTCCAGTTAGTTCGTATGACTATTCATCAATTGCTTCAAGCTCCGAATGGTATAGTGCTTCATCTGGTTCATCTGACTACTCATCTATTGCTTCAAGTTCCGAATGGTCTAGTGCTTCATCAGACTACTCCAAAGTTACCACTGTTAAGCCTGGTGAAACTACAGCTTCTCTAGATTTATCTAGCTCATCAGACTATTCATCTATTGGTTCTAGTTCAGAGTGGTCTAGTGTCTCATCTGGTTCATCAGCTCCAGTTAGTTCATCAGACTATTCATCAGTTGCTTCAAGTTCAGAATGGTCTAGTGCTTCATCTGGTTCATCAGACTACTCATCTATTGCTCCAAGCTCAGAATGGTCTGGTGCTTCATCTGGTTCATCAGCTCCAGTTAGCTCATCGGACTACTCATCAATTGGTTCTAGCTCAGAATGGTCTAGTGCTTCATCTGGTTCATCAGCTCCAGCTAGCTCATCGGACTACTCATCAATTGGTTCTAGCTCAGAATGGTATAGTGCTTCATCTAGTTCCTCAGCTTCAGTTAGTTCATCTGACTATTCATCAATTGCTTCAAGCTCAGAATGGTCTAGTGCTTCATCTGCTTCATTTAGCTACTCATCTATTGCTTCAAGTTCCGAATGGTCTAGTGTTTTATCTGGTTCATCAGCTCCAGTTAGTTCATCAGACTATTCATCAGTTGCTTCAAGTTCAGAATGGTCTAGTGCTTCATCTGGTTCATCAGACTACTTATCAGTTTCTCCAAGTTCCGAATGGTCTAGTTTTTCATCAGATTACTCCAAAATTACCACTGTTAAGCCTGGTGAAACTACAGCTTCTCTAGATTTATCTAGCTCATCTGACTATTCATCTATTGGTTCTAGTTCAGAGTGGTCTAGTGTCTCATCTGGTTCATCAGCTCCAGTTAGTTCATATGACTACTCATCAGTTGCTTCAAGCTCCGAATGGTCTAGTGCTTCGTCTGGTTCATCAGCCCCAGTTAGCTCATCGGACTACTCATCTATTGGTTCTAGCTCAGAATTGTCTAGTGCTTCATCTGGTTCCTCAGCTCCAGTTAGTTCATCTGACTATTCATCAATTGCTTCAAGCTCCGAATGGTCTAGTGCTTCATCTAGTTCCTCAGCTCCAGTTAGTTCATCTGACTATTCATCAATTGCTTCAAGCTCAGAATGGTCTAGTGCTTCATCTGCTTCATTTGGCTACTCATCTATTGCTTCAAGTTCCGAATGGTCTAGTGTCTCATCTGGTTCATCAGCTCTAGTTAGTTCATCAGACTATTCATCAGTTGCTTCAAGTTCAGAATGGTCTAGTGCTTCATCTGGTTCATCAGACTACTTATCAGTTTCTCCAAGTTCCGAATGGTCTAGTTTTTCATCAGATTACTCCAAAATTACCACTGTTAAGCCTGGTGAAACTACAGCTTCTTTAGATTTATCTAGCTCATTTGACCATTCATCTATTGGTTCTAGTTCAGAGTGGTCTAGTGCTTCATCTGGTTCATCAGCTCCAGTTAGTTCATCAGACTATTCATCAGTTGCTTCAAGTTCAGAATGGTCTAGTGCTTCATCTGGTTCATCAGCTCCAGTTAGTTCGTCTGACTATTCATCAATTGCTTCAAGCTCCGAATGGTATAGTGCTTCATCTGGTTCATTTGACTACTCATCTATTGCTTCAAGTTCCGAATGGCCTAGTCTTTCATCAGATTACTCCAAAATTACCACTGTTAAGCCTGGTGAAACTACAGCTTCTCTAGATTTATCTAGCTCATCTGACTACTCATCAATTGCTTCAAGTCCTGAATCGTCTAGTGCTTCATCTGGTTCAT